CCTCGAATCGTGCGTGTATTGCTCAGCGAACTCACACAGGATATCGTTGAACAGGTAAATCTATGAAATATTCATAATATGGAAAGATTTACCCAAAGTAGGAATGCACATTATGATAATATGGCCAAACAAATGAACACGTTGAATGAGATAATGAATAAGTTGGTAGGCTAAATGTGTCAGCCAGTTATGCCTGTGGCAAACCACTTTCAAACTAGGACAATTGTGGGACATAATTCACCTCATAATTCTCCTGGTTTAAATTTAAATCAAGGAATAGAGTCATCCTTAGTCCATCGACTTCGAACCACGGGGGGTAGTGGGATGCCAGATTCGAATGGTGGCAATGGGTTTACCAACCTCGGAGGCAATTCAATTATAAGGGATAATATCCTGAATGATAGACAGAACGCCCCACATGTTAATGATGCTTTAAACTCTTAATTCAATTGTAACAATGGCCCAAACAATGACAATTTTGTTGCCAACCAAGGACCAAATGTTAGGCCCCAAGCAAATCAACCATTAAACCAACCCATATGAATTCCATACGATCCCAATGTTATGTTGATGAATCAAATCATGGAGATAGTGCAGGATCAAATGGCTCTAGGGGTACGTCCTGTTATTAGGCCAACTTATACGAAACCATATCTTGATTGGGTAGATCAAGCATATCCATGGCCTAGACGGTACAAAGTGCCAGAATTCTCGTTATTCACTGGTTTAGGGGAAATATCTACTCTAGAACACATAGGGCAATTCACACTGCATAGTGGTGAAGTAACCGACTATCATAAAATGAGGTTGTTCCCTAATTCATTGACAGGAGTAGACTTTTCCTGGTTTATTAACATGCTAGCGAATTCTGTTCAAAATTGTTTCATGCTCAGTTTTACAAAATTGAATCTGAAGTTACTTTGGCCGATTTGGCGAATCTACGTCAAATGTCAAATGAATGGGCGGAAGGTTTCATTCAAAGGTTCAAAACAGCAAGAAGTAAGTGTTTTGTACTCTGCCCGAAAAGGAATTTGTCAAAATCGCTCAAAATTGTCTAAACTTCGATCTAAAAAAGAAGTTCCAGAATAGGGAATTTCCAAATCTATTCCAATTAAGCGCAAACGTGATTAG